CATAAAGCAACATACATATCGTAAAGCACAGCGAGACAGGTTTTGCTGCGATTACCATGGATGCGCGAGTGACTGCTTGGAGGTGTAACGCTTCTGTGGGTCCACACACATCAGGTGGGAAATGAACTCCTTTGCTAAAATGAACAGAGTGCAATAAAGCATAAAATTAACTCTATGACGTGCGAATCTTCCTAAACGAACGACTGGCTGAACCACAACGAAATACCGTTTCGACAGGTCATCTACATAAAGGATGTGCATTGAAGTACACCACAGTTTCTGAAGGTTGCCATCATCGCGATGTTATTATCAATAATCCGCTATTTATATGGCATAGTTATAGCAGTCACGTGTCACAGAGTTTAACAGTCTGTTAGAGCGTTTTCTAAGTTAGCCAGTGGTTACCATTTTCAGCCGCATATCATACTGAATACGCAGAGATTCGGTGGGTCGAGGGCTATGATGCGCTCACATCAGACAGCACAGCCGTACCCCTCACCCGTTCTAATATGATTACAGAACAGATCACCTCGCTGTCTCAGTTTTCTTCAGTCAACAGTTTGCTACCCATTTCTCAGCAGGCTGCACTGAAGCAAAGTGAGGCAAATTCCTTGCGCCAAGGTCATCCACGGCAACACAAGGTCATTTCTTCACTAGATTCATACCCAGCCCATCAGGAGTTAGAAATCGAGTTCAACGGCATGGTGCCATGCCACCGCACCCCAAGCAAAGACTACTTCGAAAGAGACCTGCGCCCATGAAAATAGCTGCCTCAGTGAGAACAACGATCATACCAGAATCGGATATGTCATTCCAATACGGGGCATCGAATTCGTATTCCCCACGCATGATCTGCGCGAAGAGGTTCGCATCGCATTCGTCGTAAAACGGCGGGTAGCCGCAGAGTCTACGAGACAAATTACATTAGCTTCGTTAGGAAACAGGAACATGCGATCGCCGCCGGATCGCCGAACTTTACGTACAAGATGTAAGTAATCACTCCAATGGACCAAACGTCGACCGCCTTTCCGTACGGCTTTTGCGCGAGCACCTCAGGTGCTGAAAGCAAAGCAACCGATTAAAAACGCTGACAAACGACGACAGCATCAACGACGCATACCGACATATCCGGGGGTACCACAAGCGGTAGCCATGATGCCACTGTCAATGGTCTTCGACAGGCCAAAGTCAGATATGATTATCTTTGAGTCTTTGGCCGGACTGTGGTACAGCAGGTTCTCCGGCTGAACAAAGAACAACGTTCAAGCGAAAATGGAAGAATAAAAAAAGCTACTAGAAAGCAAACCAACCTTGATGTCGCGGTGGACTACGCCATTGTCGTGCATGTAGGAAACAGCCTCCAGCACTTGTCGAATGAGCGCTGACGCGTCCTTCTCTGAGAACGTACCCCGCTCGACTATTCGATCGAATAGCTCGCCACCGGTAACCCTACAAATGTCAGCATCGAGTTGTTCAGAAAGCACTTACAAATAAACCATTTATTTAATTAATCTTATTCGCACATAGCAATAGTAACGGAAAACACAGAACACCAAAAAATAATCCTTACTTACAATTCCATTACGAGATAATAATTGGATTTATCCTCATAGGTTTCGTACAGGCGCACAATGTTTGGGTGCTGAAGTCTGAAACGAGGATTATACATTTCAGTTGCGATTTCGACGTTTTGCCGTCTAACGCAGAAGTACGAAAAACTCACCGGCGCAAAACATCTATTTCATTCTGCAGCGACTCCTCCTTTCCCTTCACCGCCTTCTTATCAATGCATTTCACGGCCACCAGAAAACCCACCTGCACTTTTGATTCCGCAAGGAACACTCTGCTGAAGGCGCCTCTAAAGAACAACAAAAACTAACTTCTAACTGTAAGGAATCAATCAATACAAGAATTTCTTCCGAAACGGCCTATGGAAGCCGTCATTAATCAAAATTCCATTGTAGAAACTACCGCTATAATCTACAGCATCATGTCATGCAAAAAAATACATTGAAAGGTTTTTTCTTATATAAATGTAATCATAAATATAATATAAATTAGCCAGTACATTAATACACAATATAAGTTATGATATGAACCAATCTGATGCAACAAAGCTAGATAAACACTCAAGACAAAAATTGCTGAAAAAAAGACTTAGAAACAGTCACATTCGAACCCATTCAAAAATGAATTCGAGTTTGGCATCTGGTGGTCAAAATCGACAGATTGCACCGACATGTCGTG